TCTTTTTTTACACCTTTAGAAGGGAAACATATTATCACCTTGCTTAGTGGGATTGTCAACTTCCTTCACTTCAGGAATACCCGAATGGAGGTCTACAATGAATTCTGTTTAAGCTATGTAAGAAAAAACTGATTCTTCATTTATTTACTCCTGTTTTTTGGTCAAAAGCTATTGCTACAGGTTTCATTTATGCTGGAATGTTTAAATATTGTCTGCAGAAATATGCCTTGGACAACATAAACCAGCAACAGAAGGCCATTCAGGAGTTAGAAGCTAAAAAAGAAAAACTTACGTAAGTGTTTCTGATTCCCATTTCTGTTGGTTATGACTTGCCCCTTTAGGTTTTGTCTTTTGATCTACTGAGCAAAAAGAAAATGTAACCACGTAAATAAGGTCCCCTCAATTGACCCTTTCAGGGAGACTTAATGTCCACTATATATCGTGGAACAAGCTCATATATGTACATCAGACAGTTCACTACTTCCTCTCAAGACACATTACCACTTTGTTGTGGATGAATAGCTTATGTTTCTCCATGTCCCACAGAGATGAAGATTTGTGCTTCCAGTAAGACAGGCTTGTCAAAAGGCCAAGATGAGACTAAAGGTGTTTCACCAGGTTTGAGGATTTAAGAGTTTTTTTGACCTTAACCACTTCCCATCCGGCCCATGTATATAAGCGGCCCGACAGGAGCAGTGCAGGAGTGGGTGGCCGTTTTATAAATAAAATAAATAAAATCCCAGTGGTGAATAAATACCACCAAAATAAAGTTTTATCTGTCTAAAAAAAATGCTAAAAAGTTCATATGGGTACAGTGTTGCATGACCGCGCAATTGTCATTCAAAGTGTGATAGCTCTGAAAGCTGAAAATTGGCCTGGACATGAAGGGGGTGAAAGTGTCCAGACTGGAAGTGGTTAAAGAAAAAAACAATGGTATGGAAAGAGCAGAAGAATCTTCCTTAACTATGCATGAAGTTCTTCCCAAGTCTTATGCAGAGACTTGAATGACTGGTGGTGAAAAGCCAGTGAGGAAGTCCTAATAACTAGTCAGATGTTACCTTTACCTAAGCTGCTGTAGAAAAATGACCCCTTGGAATTGTTTTGTCATGCAGTCCAGATCCATACATGTGTAATACTCTCACTGAAAGTCTTAATAATTAATACACGTTATTGTCTTAGGACTGTCCCACCTGAACAACAAGCAGAATTCAAAGCGCTTTCCAGTGATATCCAAGACTTGCAGCAGACTATAAGTCAGGAATATCGCGCAAAGGATGTAAGTAACCAACATTTCTTCGTCTTTTTTTTTTTTTTTTTCTTCAATATCCTGGTTTTAATGAAAACTTATAAACAAACCCAAATAAGTCCCCATTTATTTAAACGATTACCTTCAGGTGACACTACAGGATTCCTCGACTTTGGAGGGATTTCCCTCCCACTTCCTGTTTTGGCTATGGGTAAGGAAGTGAAGGAAAATCTCCCCAGTTGGGCACAGATGTACATAAAAACTGACAGGAGATATCACCCTCCTTTGCCCTTTCCAAATTGAAAAAAATATAAACAAAAAGCCCCCCCAAAAAAACAAGGTTTTCCGTTTCGTTACCCTTGTGATGGGCGAACACCATCCCACCTAATTTGCTAAGCTTGGTGAACATACAGATTTCATACTAAATGTACAGTCTTTTACTTCTTTAGTAATTCAACTGCATTGCATCAGTGAGAAGTGCTTAGTAGACTCATTTGATATGTAAAGGAGCTTACAAAGGTTTGGGTGAGGGAAGCCTGTCAAACATCTGACCCATTGCATATGCTGAATATCCTGTTTGTACATATTTGTCAGTATGAGCTGGTTTTACATTTTATTGCTATCTTTATATTCCGTTGTCTGCACAAGAGATAGTCACACATTTAGTTGGTTGGAAGCCAAGTAGTAATAGTCATTGTTTCATTTTCCAAGAACAAGTACTTCTATGTTGGAAAATCTCTTCTACTAAGCACAAATCCAAGTCATTAAGAATGTTGTAGTTGGTCCAGGCGTAACCAAGCACCATAGGCGACACTTCAAAAGCCCCTACAGGTCATCACTTAAGTGGTATGGTGAGGTCTTGTGCTAGAATTATTGCTCACGCTCTGGTGTGTACGGCGATATGTAACGTGTATTGCAATCAACGTTTTCATGCGTAGGCAACCCTGATGCGTATGTTTACGTTTGTATGTGCGTTAATGTGGGGGTGGAAGGCCTCAAAAACATTTTTTTGGGGGGTGGGTAGTGTTATGTGCTTGGGTGTAACTTTTATTGTTTGTCAATAAAAATGTTTTTTTTATTTTTTACCTTTTTTTTTTTTTTTTTTTTTTTTTTTTTTTTTTCATCACAAAGGGAACACACAGTCCCTTATGTGCATGTCTACTTTGGGCTCCAATGGATTATTTTATTTATTTATTTCAGGTACTTACAGTGGGGCAAAAAAGTATTTAGTCAGCCACCAATAGTGCAAGTTCTCCCACTTAAAAAGATGAGAGAGACCTGTAATTGGCATCATAGGTGGACCTCAACTATGAGAGACACAATGAGAAAAAAAAATCCAGACAATCACATTGGCTGATTTAGAAAGAATTTATTTGCAAATTATGGTGGAAAATAAGTATTTGGTCATCTACAAACAAGCAAGATTTCTGGCTCTCACAGACCTGTACCTTCTTCTTTGAGGCTCCTCTGTCCTGCACTCATTACCTGTATCAATGGCACCTGTTTGAACTTGTTATCAGTATAAAAGACACCTGTCCACAACCTCAAACAGTCACACTCCAAACTCCACTATGGTGAAGACCAAAGAGCTGTCGAAGGACACCAGAAACAAAATTGTAGACCTGCACCAGGCTGGGAAGACTGAATCTGCAATAGGCAAGCAGCTTGGTGTGAACAAATAAACTGTGGGAGCAATAATTAGAAAATGGAAGACATACAAGACCACTGATAATCTCCCTCGATCTGGGGCTCCACGCAAGATCTCACCCCGTGGGGTCAAAATGATCACAAGAACGGTGAGCAAAAATCCCAGGACCACACGGGGGGACCTAGTGAATGACCTGCAGAGAGCTGGGACCAACGTAACAAAGGCTACCATCAGTAACACACTACGCCACCAGGGACTCAGATCCTGCAGTGCCAGACGTGTCCCCCTGCTTAAGCCAGTACATGTCCGGGCCTGTCTGAAGTTTGCTAGAGAGCATTTGGATGATCCAGAAGAGGATTGGGAGAATGTCATATGGTCAGATGAAACCAAAATAGAACTGTTTGGTAGAAACACAGCTCGTCGTGTTTGGAGGAGAGAGAATGCTGAGTTGCATCCAAAGAACACCATACCTACTGGGAAGCATGGGGGTGGCAACATCATGCTTTGGGGCTGTTTCTCCGCAAAGGGACCATAAACGACTGATCCATGTACAGGACAGAATGAATGGGGCCATGTATCGTGAGATTTTGAGTGCAAACCTCCTTCCATCAGCAAGGGCATTGAAGATGAAACGTGGCTGGGTCTTCCAACATGACAATGATCCCAAACATACCGCCCGGGCAACGAAGGAGTGGCTTCGTAAGAAGCATTTCAAGGTCCTGGAGTGGCCTAGCCAGTCTCCAGATCTCAACCCCATAGAAAACCTTTGGAGGGAGTTGAAAGTCCGTGTTGCCCAGCGACAGCCCCAAAACATCACTGCTCTAGAGGAGATCTGCATGGAGGAATGGGCCAACATACCAGCAACAGTGTGTGCCAACCTTGTGAAGACTTACAGGAAACGTTTGACCTCATTGCCAACAAAGGATATATAACAAAGTATTGAGATGAACTTTTGATATTGACCAAATACTTATTTTCCACCATAATTTGCAAAAAAATTCTTTCCAAATCAGCCAATGTGATTGTCTGGATTTTTTTTCTCATTTTGTCTCTCATAGTTGAGGTCTACCTATGATGCCAATTACAGGCCTTTCTCAACTTTTTAAGTGGGAGAACTTGCACAATTGGTGGCAGACTAAATATTTTTTTGCCCCACTGTATATAGCGCCGTCAATTTACGCAGCGCTTTACATATATATTGTACATTCACATCAGTCCCTAACCCTCAAGGGGCGTACAATCTAAGGTCCCTAACTCACATTCATATACAAGGGCCAATTTAGACAGGATCCAATTAACCTACCAGCATGTCTTTGGAGTGTGGGAGGAAACCGGAGTACCCAGAGGAAACCCACGCAGGCACAGGGAGAACATGCAAACTCCAGGCGCGGAGGTGCCGTAGCTGGGATTCGAACCAACGACCCTAGTACTGCCAGGCGGAAGTGCTAACCGTTTAGCCACTGTGCTGCCACAGTGGATGTATTGCAATGCAAATCACATTGCAATACATATCTCCTCGGCTAGAATAGCCAGGGAAAGTGACAGCAATGACCCGGAAATGACATCATATACGTGGCTTTCCGAGTCACAGTAAGAAGGGGAGAAAAGAAGTCGTGTGTCCACTCTCCTCTCTCCTATCCACCCTCTGGCACCCGCCATGTTGACCTGGGGCTCACAGATGGGCAGGCAGAGCCCGAAATACATGGCAGGAGCACGTGTGCGGGCGAGTGTGGGGGTTGTTGTGTTTTGTGTCTGACACCAAGCATGGGCATTCTTCTTGCTGTCCATTCTTTGCAAAAGCTCTTCTGCATATGGCCAATCTTATACGAATTGGCACAAAAGGGCACACCTAAAACTGGATAGTACTTCATCATTTCTTCTGTGTATTTAAAGAACATGCATGTTTTAGTAGGATTATTTTTGCTACTACTTTTTCCTGTGGCTGTCACTGGAATCATATACTCTGTAATTTTTTTGTGTGGAATAATCTTTAGGTTACAGTTACATATGGGTGCATTTTTGTCATGTTTTATTTCATTGTATAGTTCATATATTGCATTTATTTTGAACATATTTTTCCTTCCTTTTTAGATGGCTTTCCAGGAAAAACTGGCACAGAAAAAAGTGGATTTTGCAGAGAAGATGAAAAAACTGGTAAGTTAAAATAGAGCTGCAGTAATAGCAGTTATGTCACACTAGTGTAGAGTCAGCTGATGCCCATATGTATAAAGCATTTGTGTGTAAAGTTCAGCAGGAAAAGCTTAAGGTTCTCAGATGGAAACTCCAGGGTGAATTCTTGCTGATCTCCGGACACTCTTTGCAGCACCTCTGAGGCTGAAGAATCTCTAAGAGTACAAAAATAAAAGCAGAGGGCGTGATCTGAGTGTAGTCAGGTACATTTAGTTATAAAAACAGCAAATTGGCAACTTGCATATAGCCAGTAAATGTTCGCTAATCATCAGAGTCCGGCTTGTGTGGTGTAATATTTATTTTATTTATTTATATTTTATGAAAGCAGAACCGCAGACCAACCTGAAAATAAACCCCAAACCCAGCACTTAAAGCTGGGCAAAACACCTCTTTTCCCTGACTTAGTTTGACTTGCCTTTTGTGTTACAGACTCTCCCCCTCACCCCCCTTATACTTACCTGAGCCCCATCATGATCCAGCACTGTGCATAAGAGCTGTAGTTCTCCTGGCTTTGTCCCTCCTCACTAGACAGATCGATAGCAGTTGGGAGCCAGTGGCTCCCACACATGTCACTCAACTCTAGTGATGATGGAGCGGGAGGCGGGGCTGAGTCTTGTCTGTGCTCAATGGACCACCAAGAAAGGAGGAGTGCCGGCAGGGAATCCAAGAATAGAATTATTGGGGCCGCTCTATGTAATTCTTTTGCACAAAGCAGGCAAGTATAAACATGTTTTGTTTTTTTTGGCTTTGTTTGGTTTTTTTTTTTTTTTTCTTTTACAATCACTTCAATTGCTATGATGCCTTGTACTGCCACCAGCTGTTCCATCAGAACAGATCTGCCTTTGTCCTGTAATGTGCTCTTGGCCATGTATTTTAACATCAATATTTTGGCTCGTCTCAAGTTACCCTTGTTCATGGCCATCTGTTAGGGCGATATTCAACTTGTTTCCAAGATACAGTGCCTTGAAAAAGTATTTATGCCCCTTAACATTTTCCACATTTGGTCATGTTACAACCAGAAATGTATTTTATGTGATAGAGCAACACAAAGTGGCATATAATTGTGAAGAGGAAGGAAAATTGATAATTGCTTTTCAAACTTTTTTTACAAATATCTGAAAAGTGTGGCGTGCATTTGTATTCAGCCCCCTTTACTCTGATACCCCTAACTAAAATCTAGTGGAACCAATTGCCTTCAGAAGTCACCTAATTAGTAAATAGAGTCCACCTGTGTGTAATTTAATCTCAGTATAAATACAGCTGTTCTGTGAAGCCCTCAGAGGTTTGTTAGAGAATATTAGTGAACAAACAGCATCATGAAGGCCAAGGACACACCAGACAGATCAGGGATAAAGTTGTGAAGAAGCAGGTTTAGGTTATAAAAAAAATAACCCAAGCTTTGAACATCTCATGGAGCACTGTTCAACCCATCATCTGAAAATGGAAAGAGCATGGCACAACTGCAATACTACCAAGATGGAGCCGTTCCGCTAAACTGGCAGGCTGGGCAAGGAGAGCATTAATCAAAGAGGCAGTCAAGAGGTCCATGGTAATTCTAGAGGAGCTGCAAAGATCCACAGCTCAGGTGGGAGAATCTATCCACAGGATAACTATAAGTCGTGCACTCCACAAATCTGGCAGTTTGTGAGAAGCCATGTGGGGGGCACAGCAAACATGTGGAAGAAGGTGCTCTGGTCAGATGAGATCAAAATTGAACTTTTTGGCTTAAAAGGAAAAATGCTATGTGTGGCTGAAAACTAACACTGCACATCACCCTGAACACACCATCCCCACTGTGAAACATGGCGGTGGCAGCATCATGTTGCGGGGATGCTTTTCTTCAGCAGGGACAGGGAAGCTGGTCAGAGTTGATGGGAAGATGGATGGAGCCAATTACAGGGCAAAAAGAAAACCTGCTGGAGTCTGCAAAAGACATGAGACTTGGGTGGAGGTTCACCTTTCAGCTGGACAACGACCCTAAACATACAGCCAGAGCTACAATAGAATGGTTTAGATCAAAGCATATTCATGTGTTAGAATGGCTCAGTCAAAGTCCAGGCTTGAAACAAATTGAGAATCTGTGGCTAGACTTGAAAATTGCTGTTCACAGACACCCTCCATCCAATCTGACAGAGCTTGAGCTATTTTGTAAAGCAGAATGGGCAAAAATGTCACTCTCTAGATGTGCAAAGCTGGTAGAAACATCCCCAAACGGACTTGCAGCTGTAATTGCAGCAAAAGGAGGTTCTACAAAGTATTGACTCACGTGGGCCGAATACAAATGCATGCCACACTTTTCAGATATTTATTTGTAAACATTTTTGAAAACCATTTATAATTTTCCTTCCACTTCACACTTTGTGTTGGTCTATCACGTAAAAGCCCAATAAAATAAATTTACGTTTTTGGTTGTAACATGACAAAATGTGGAAAATTTCAAGGAGTATGAATACTTGTTCAAGGCACTGTAAGTCTTGTAGTTTATTCAGTCAGCACTATATCACAAGTCACTGTTTTTGAACTGTTTTAATTGTTTGTTTTTTTTGTTTTTGATTTTTGTTTTAATGTTTTGCTAAGCTTATAATGCTGGATCTGCATTTGGTCTGTTAAAGATACATTTGATAGCTTTTTTTTTTGTTATATCTGTTCAAGAAGTGCAAAATAATACCTGTTGATTGTGTCATAAATTCTGAGTGGTCCTGTGTTATCTCAAGAAATCGAATTAGCTCTCCTAGCCCTTAACCTGGACTACATTGACAATTATAATATTTATGTTGTTGAGATGAAGAGAGGAAGGATTCATTTGTTTAACAAAAGACATATATTTGTTTAATTTCAGTCCACAAATTCCTGTGTGTTAGCAACACACAGCTGCATATTTGGAGCAGAGTGCATTTGTTTTCAGCTCAATAGGTAATTTTTTATCATTCATTAACCAGTTGCCACCCAGCCTATGGCCCAATGGCGGCCGGGAACGCTTCGTCCCTCCTGGAACGCTTCGTCCTCCTGGATCGCCCTTTGCGCAAGCCCGCAGGCCTGCGCTATGGTGAGATCTGTCACCGGCCGTGTACTTTGGACATGGCCGATGACAGATCTGTGTACCGGTCCTGCTGCCAGTACCATGTGACCTTCTGTGACCAATCACAGCAGGTCACATGACAGTTGTATAAAATGAATGGCTTCCTTTCATGCCATCCATTGTATACAAGTGTGTCTAGCTGTTAATGGTCACAGCGATCACATGCACAGGCTGGGCCAGTTACAGCCCATCTGTGTCATTTGATTAGCTGTGGCTAATCACAAAAAAAAAGGAAAAACCTGAATGAATCGATTTCATTAAGTTAAATGCTTGCTTACAGGAAAGAAATTATTTGCTATAATCAAATTGTGTAAAAAAAAATAAAAATAATGATCACTTCCCCAAAGTAGTGCAATGTTACTATGGTAACATTATACTACTTTGGTCATAGTGAAATATGAAAAGAAAATCTTAAAGAGAAAAAAAAGTAATAAAAAATTTAAAAAATCTTTTTTTTTTTTTTGGACTGTCACCAGTCAGTGTCCCTGATCACTGCCACGCCAGTTATATGCTGATGCTGTACTGCACTGGTGACGGTATGCAAAAAAAAAAATTGTGAAAAAATGTTTTTCATTTCTTCATTTTCTGAAAAATTATGACAAAAAAATCACAACTTCAAAAGACTTGCCATGCCTCTTATGAAGTACGTCAGACTGTCTACTTTGCAAAAAGGGGTCATTTGGGGGATATCTGTACTGTTCTGACATTTTTGGGTCTCAAGAAATTAGATTGGCTGTCAGTACTTCAGGATTGATCAATTTTCAGATATATCCCATAGCTTGTGAACTCTATAACTTTACTACAGACTAAATAATAAATACTGATTTGGGTTATTTTCACCAAAGACATGTAGCAGAATACATCTTGGCCTAAATTTATGAAGAACAATTATTTATTTGCAAACTTTTATAACAGAAACAAAGAAAAACATGTTTTTTTTTTTTCTTTCAAAATTTTCAGTCTTTTTTTTGTTAATTTTAGCACAAAATAAAAACCGCAGTGGTGATTAAATACCACCAAAAGAAAGCACTAGTTGTGTGAACAAAATGATAAAAGTTTAGTTTGGACACAGTGTTGCATGACCGCGCAATTGTCATTCAAAGTGTGAGAGCGCTGAAATCTGAAAATTGGCCTGGGCAGGAAGGAGGTAAAAGTGCCTGGTATTTAGTGGTTAAGGCATGCATGATCAGGAGTAAATCTGAGACATTTTGTTATACTGATGCCTACAGGAGAAATTGAACACTGGCAGCAAAACAGATAACCAGCCAGGTAAAAGCCAGGAAAAGTTGATCATTTGTAATAGATGTTTTTATTTTTTTCAACAAGAGCTTTCCTTCAGCCAACTCTTCATTCTGCTGTGCTGCTATCCAGATAGGTTAATCCTTGGCACCGCCTTTGAGGCCGTTCCCAGACCCAGTTGAATTGAGAGGGGCTTGCCTGTAATGTGACCTTTGACACTGAGTTCAACTTGTTATACTACATGGGCACCAAGTGTACTGGTTTGTTAGCTGCACTTCCTAGGTTCCGGGCTGTGGCACATTCTCTGGTGTGACCTTTTCCTTTGGAATTTACCTATGTAAGTTGAAAACTTTGGAGTGTGGCATTTGATCTCTGAGTTCTGCATATGGCGCTCTCTGGTACCTTAGTATTATGCTTGTTTATCACAGAACTATGACAGAGCCCTCTCTGTTCATGGTGCACTTTTAATTTTTCTTCCACAATTGTTTTTCCCTGTGCTCCTCAGAAAGGGTAAAAGCACTGGAGAAAGAAGTGCTGCATTACTAACTGCGATGTTGCATGGACACAACACGATCTCTGTCTGTTTTTTTAAATTTGAGATAGCTTTCCATCATTGCTCTACTTTCAAGTATCACAAAGTTCGGTT